TTGATTGCATGCAGTTCTTCCAACATGCAGAATTTCCAGTGCTGGGCCTAAAGGCTCCTTTCAAGTCACTTTCTGTACAGACACATTTCCTTCCTTCCAATGTTTTTTTAAAGACTTTATTTTGCTCAGTTCCCCTTTGCGGTGGCTGGCTTTTGGTTAAGATCTTCTTTTTTAAATAGCTAAAACAAAAACAGTCTATAGAAACCATAAGCTTAGCAAAAGGGCGTCAGAGGTTTTCTGTTAGAATTTTGGGTCTGAGATATGGGCATTTCCCCTGCAGTAGGAACCACATCCTCATTTGGTGATTTGTCTGAACTGGCTACTGAAATCACAGTGAAGCCACATAAAATCGATGATTTAGCACCAAGGGCGCCTGCAGCATGTCTGCCTTGCAATAACCCCAAGCCTTGCATGCCCATCAGCTGCAGAGCCTGCAGCCATACAGCCATTCTTAGAGACACAGCTCCCTCAGGTGGTTTGCTGAGCAGTTGTAACACCTCCAAGAGACTGGAAATGGAATAAAGCACAGCTGCAGTGATGCAACGTAGAAATTCATTAACAGAGCTTCACACCTCTATTTCATTCTCTTTCTTGATAGGAATCATCACCTCACATCTAGCAGAGGAAGAGGGATGTGTCTGAGCTGGGCAGTCAACCACAGAAGTCCTAGCCTGTCCCAGCAGGTGTAGCATTCAGCAGCTTAGCATTCAGAGGCTTAGGCATCCCACCTCACTAGGGAGCAGGAGGCTCGGGTATACACATTAGGCTGCCCACAAGCTGTCTGGTTTCTGAGTTGTCACTTGTACCCCCTGTGCCTGCTCACCTACCCTGGGACACCAAGAAGGGCTTGGAGTGAAAGTAGGTATTTGTGTGGGAGGGCAGCAGTATGAAATGCCTTCCTTCTCTTAGAATACAGGCAGAGAAAGTGTGTGGGAAATGCGGCCAACGGGTGGTGCTGCTGCATGGAGGGCTTCTTTGTTGTTGGGTTCTCATCTTCCTGCTACCTTAAAACCTGCATTTCAGAGGCACTGGAGACAGGCACTATCTAACAATATCACCCAGAACAAAGGCACATGAGGTAATAGGGTGATATTGAGGCTGGTGCAACAGCAGGCAGAAACCAAACATCAACTTGAGGCATTTCTCTGTCCTCTTTTTGTCCACATCTCTGACATCCCACTTGCATAGCCAGCACTTGCAAGTAGTATTTGCAGAGCTTTGCCTGCCAAGCTGAGCTTTGCTCTGACCTATCATCCATGGCACGTGCCACAGAGGACTACAGTTTGAAAGTCAAATTCAGCATTTCTTGAGCCTGCTGCAAGGTTTCAGCACAGCCAAAGCATAGAAGCCTTATTTAACAGAATAGAGAAGAGGGCTGATGGGCAAGACAGTCCCAGCTGAGGTTGATCTCCATATCAAAGCCTGAGGATTTGATGCAGACTATGAGGGATGCCTTTTCCCTCATGGCATTATTTTTAAAAGCATGCCAAAAAAAGACATTTATTAGCCCCAGCCTCCTACTTGACATTTTACAGGCTCAAAATTTTATTTTAGGATTGAAATTATTTGACTGGGTCCAGTCCCACCTGTACTAGAAGCAGGAGCCCCCTGGCAATTGCCAAGGTCTCACATACACTACCACAAAGCCTAGGTTTAGGCAGCAAGTGGTGCTCATGTCAAGCAGCCTAAAATAGGGATTGGATGTACAAGGGCCAGCCACTACTTTTCTGGGTGCCTATTCAGACTACATAGCTGGTGAGCACTGCAGGATCACAACACAATAACCACCCTGCTCTGAGCATGGAGTTGCACTTTCCTCCCATACTTTCAGTACCAGTTCCTGTTCTCCAACACCAGCCAAAGCTGACACCTGGAAAGCACATACTGCATCTCTCATGCCAGGGAGGACAGACCAGTGTAATTGCAGAGTGCAGCTCTGCACATCAGCACTCTTGTCTCATCCTTCATAGGAAGAATGGAGAAAGACTCTTTATCTGCCGTGATTCACAACCAGGGAAGGCTACAGCAAGCATCATCAGAGCTGAGCACTTCCTGTTATTTCTTAGGTCTTGATGTCAGCTATTTTCCAGAACTGATATGTTCCCTGCAGCACAAAAACCTAAGATGCGAATGCTCTGTGACATATGTTCAGAAAAAAAATGGCTGACTTTTCTCAGAGGCATCAAGCAGAATTTGGGAATGTACAAATATCCTGTTACAGTACATTGAAACAAACATAAGACATCATAAAAACAGTAGTGACTACTAAAGAAAAGGTGACAGAAGCTAACGTAAGTATTGCCCTGATGAGACTCCCATTGTGTGAGGTACTGCATGCTCACAGTCCTACGTCTATCTGTGCTGTATTTTCACGTAACTCCACCCAACAAGCCAACATTCAGCTCTTTTTTACTCAGCTCAAAGTCCCTTGGCACCTAACAGAGAGGTTTAGCTGGAAAGCAATGGAACAAGAGCCTGACATCCCAGAGGAGACTTTGGTGGACTGCAGCAAGGCCAAAGGCACCCACAGTTGCAGCAACAAAATGAAGGGCAGCACTGAGATGTGAGCCATTTTACTTGAACCCACTGTGGTGTGGTTTGGTGCAGCCTTGTCTCCAGGACAGGAACCACGCATCCAGCACCTCTCTTGGCAAAGTGTTCCAGTGCCTCACCACCCTTACTGTAAAAAAAAAAAATTCTTCCTTATGTCCAGTCTAAAATTCCCCTCTTTTAGTTTGAAACCATTTCCCCTTGTCCTGTCACCACAGACCCTGCTAAAGACTCTGTCCCCTTCCTTCTTACCACCTCCCTTTAGATGTTGAAAGGCTGCTCTCAAGTCTCCCCAGAACCTTCTCTTCTCCAGGCTGAACAGCCCCAGCTCTATCAGCCTGTCCTTGTAGGAGGAGCGTTTCACCCCTGGGATCCTTTTTGTGGCTCTCCTCTAGACATACTCCAAGAGATCTTATACAGAGGACTCCACATCTGGATGCAGGACTCCAGCTGAGGTGTCACCCAAGCAGAGTAGCAGGATCACATCCCTCAACCTGTTGGCCATATTTCTCTTGATGCAGCCCAGAAGGGTCATAGTATGGTCTGGTGCCTTATTGGCTTTATGGGTATCTTGCAGCCAAGAGCTGAAAAGCTTCTTGCCTTCCACTCACAAGAGTTAGCTTCCTGCTGCAGTCCCTTGCCTAAAGAACCAACGTACACTACTACTGGGCCAGCATCCCCTCACACTGCCTCAGCTGTCCCAGTGCATGGTGCTGTAGCAAGTGCCACCTCAATATCAGCCCCAGGGAGAGGAGGGCAGCAGTGGAGAGAGTTTTATGGTCTGAGGGGACAGAACAGGGAACACTGCCCACGCTTAGGCTGAATGCAGTACCATGGCTCTCTGTGCTGAGGAAGCAAATGAGGATTTGAAACCAAACCCTGCAGCACCCATGTCTGCTTCAGCTAGGATCACAGCACAGAGAACTTCCCTGCCTACTAATCCAGAAACCAGCAAATCAGGCAGAGGACTCAGGCTAGCAGGGTACCTCAAGGAGAGGTCAACTGCAGAGCAGGAGCAGAGCTACAGCACAGGCACCAGGCTCCAAGAGCAGCTAGCAGCATTTTGCTGCCTACCAGGCAGCTGCCAGCACAGTGGTTTGGCTGTGCCCCAGGCTCTGCACAATCATCCCCATGGGCTGAAAAAAAAAAGACACCAGAGATAAGGAACAGTCACAGATACCTACAAAGTAACTAGAGGAAACAGGTCCCTGGGCCTAGCCAACATGATAGAAGCTGAGCAAGTCTCACGGGGAAGGAGCATCTCAAAAGCACTGCTGCAGTTCTGTTAAGCCTATGGCACAGAAGGCACGGTGGCAGTGATGTCATAAGAAGAACCAATACATAACAGGAAGCCCTGGGTGGTACTGTGACACCTCCTGCATCCAAGGTCTTGTGACTCATAGACCGGAGCATTTTTCCTGTCTTCTCTGTAGCAAAGGGCGATTTCAAAGGGATGCCAACAAAGGTATGAGCTTGAAGCCCTTGCCACCAACTCTTATCTTTATTCATTTGCTACAGGTACATAGCTTATATTACTAAGTAAACAATGAAATATTTACATGAAATGCAATTTCAAGTAGTAAAAACCCTAAAACAAGCTGCAGAAAGCTAAGCCAAGAACAAGCAACCTTCCCATCATTGTGCCCCCTCTGGAGCTCAAGCAAAGTGACCGAGCTCTGGAAGAGGCAGAGATCCCCTTCTCTCCCCAACAAGTTACTTCTCCACCCTCATTCCAGAAGAGGAAAACAATCACATTTCTGAGGAGAAACAAAAGGAAGTCTATTTAACTGCCATGGCACAAGCAGGAGAGTTATCTCAGAGAGGCATACTGCACATCCTCCTGCCTATTGCAACAAAATGCTGTCTGGACATCTTGTGCTCTAGCAGCTCTCCCCTTGTCCACCTTTGAAGACTTTTACACCAGATGGATCAGTTTATCCAGTCAGACATTGCTCGAAGAAAGCATGTCCTCTCTCAGCTCCTCAGCTGTCTGAGGGACGCAGTTGTGAATGTTCTCAGGGGCCAGAGGAGCAAGGGGTGTTTGTCTGGAACATGGAGAGTGATGCAGGAATAGTTACTGCACTTGAGGTATGCATCTCCGCCTTTGGGAGAGTGAGGCCTCTCAGCAGTTTTCTGTAATCACCTGGTATGCACCAGCAATCATGAGGTGCTTACCAGCAAAATCAGGGAGCTTGGTCACTTATCATCAGACAGGTGGCCTGGTGATGGAAACTACGTCAATTCAGACAACAGCACTGTTAAGGAGGCTGCTTGGCAGTTTGAAATACTACTTCTAGGAGTCAGTGTATACCAGACCTGTTCTGTGACAAAAGAAAAAAGCTACCTGACTAGCCAAACAGATCTATAGGGAAAATTGTTTCATTTTACTTGCCAGTGAAGAAGCACAGGAACTGAGCTGAAGCAGAAAAAAAAAAAAAAAAAAATACTCCTTTCCACTTACATTCTTCAAGTCCATCACATCTCCCTTCTGTTTATTGTCCTCTGTTGGACAGCACCAGTTCTTCCAGCATCAGACCAGTTATTAATTGTATACAGATTGTTCTTTTTAAGAGATCATGCATCTGATGTCAAAACCAGAGGGCTGTTCTAATACACAGCAAGAGAATGGAAAGCTATGTGATAAAGCAGGTAAGATCCACAAGCCCACAGTGTCTCAGTAAGGCTCTCACTTTTTGGAAAGCAAGACAACAACAACGTGCAGTGAAAACAAGTGAACCACAGAAGGACGCAGGTGTCAGTACTCTATACCTTAGTATAGAGTCACTTGAAGAAAAAAGGCTCCAGATCTCATCTTCAGTCTCCTCCACTGTGTCTCTTCTACTCCAGTTACTTGATGCTCTCCCTAATCTTCTGCAGCTCCATAGCTGAGTGCTACACAAGCCTGGGTGGGAGGAGTTCCTGACCACTGTAAACTTTCTTCTTGCATAAGAGCCCTCCATTCCCCAGGACAGGCACTCAGTGCCTCTCTCTCAGCTGGCTCGGGGCCTGCAGGTGGGTACGTGGCTTAGGCTGTGGAGGCACTGCTCGCTGCTGTGCATGTGGCTGTGGAGGAGGCATCTGCTGCACACAGGTCTGCTGGGGGGTAGGGTTGGATGGTGGTTGAGGGAGCTTCCTCATTGCCATCTCTTTGTCCACCTGGTGGATCTGCATCCTTTCCTCATCTGCAACAAGAGGAGGCCCCAGCAGTCAAGCACCTACTTACACATCTAAGCAGGAGGCAGAGTACTTACTGAAATCCAACAGCAAGGGAAAAGAGTTTGGACCATGGAATTAAAGAGTATATATATATATATATATATATACTGGTCTTACCTGCAAGGGCACTGTCACTTTCAGGTTGTTCTGCAAACAACTAGAGTCACTGTCACCCACACACTCAGGCAGCTCTCAGAGTCTTGCAGCAGCCCCAAAGCTGAGGTCAATACACCTGAAGACACTACTGTCTTCTCTGGTTACTGATAGACACTCTCAGCCTGAACTTCTGTCCTTGTTTGGACAGTCTCTACTCAGAGGGCAGTGAGGCACTGGCACAGGCTGCCCAGAGAATTTGTGGTACCTCATCCAAAGAGGGACTCAAATCCAGGTTGGATGGGCCCTGGGCAGCCTGAGCTGGTGGGAGGCAGCCCTGCCCATGGCAGGGAGTTTGGACTGAGTAGGATTTAAGATCCCCCTCCAACCCCAGATGTTTTGTGATCCTATTAAATGGGTCACACCCACAAGCAGCAACACAAAAGCTCTGCCACTGTCTGCCATGAAGGTTTCCAGGGACCTGGAAGTTGCCAGCATGACTTTTCCAGTAGGTAGAATTAAATGCATGCCATCTTACTCTTGATCATTAACTCATCATTTGTGATATGTCAGTCATTTTAGCTTAGGATTGAGAAATTTACCTTAAGGTGCTGAAATAACCTTACCAAGCTGTTTCAAAGAGGCCAGCCACCTTATTTTAATTCTTTTAATCCCAGATTTCTCTCTTTTCTTTAATCCAGACCCAAAAACCAAGGAGGTACTGTCACTGCACTGAATGGGATGAACTACTCCCTTAACAAAGAACATCAAGAACAGCTGTAATGTAAGGCAGAATTCTAGTGGCTTTGCTCACACTGGCATTTTGCTCACAAGATGTGCCAAGTCTTCTAAGACAACATCCCATGGTTGCACTCTTACGAGCTCTCCTAGAGGACAGGAAGAACACTTGCCCAGTCTTTGTGGTGATGCTTCAGGGGAAAATGAGGGAATGATGAGTTAGCCATACTGAAGTTCTATCCTCAGCCATGGGAAGCATCATGCTAACCTTTGTTGTCAGACTGACCACAGGCACCTTTAAGGTATCAGCTGGAGTTTCTCTCAAACATCACCCTTTTTACTTTGACAAATACTGTTGTGCAAAGTAATGTCTTCTCACATTTTGTGTGTTCAAACACACACAGAGCCTAGATGCTGCTGAAGATCATACAGCAAGTCTGACAAGTATGTGGGTGTAAGACTTGGAAACAAGCCTTTAATACCAACATGCTGCCCTGGCTGTAGGGTGATCTTCCCTCATACTTGAGTTTCCTCTTCTGAGTGGGCCAGCCAATTCTTCCTGAGTGACAACTCAGCACCCTCTGCACACCCAAACTAGGGGCAATAAGCAAGCTGCCAGTCCCAGGCAACAACTCTATCAAGACAGAGCCTGCACTGAGAGGTAACTCTGGCAGCATATTTTCCTGAAGAGGCTTGAATTCTGGACAACAGATGAGAACTCTGCCCATAAGCTTTTTAAATGTCCAGCTTGATATGCCTCCAACAATGTTGTTTCGCAGAGAGAAAAAGCACCAAGAGATGCCTGAGGAAACCCCCTGAAAAGGGGAGTTCTTGCCCTCTCCTTACATACAGTGTTTCTAAAGGTGACTAAGTGTCAGAGATCCTAGTCTTATACTATATAGATTTACTTAAAAAAATCTAACAGATATTTAATTGTATATTTAGCCCCATGGATGTTCATGACAGGTGGCCTTGGCCAATGATTAGAGCAGCTGTTCTTCCTACATAAACAGAAGGGCTTGAGAACGAAAAGCCTTTTGTTCAAAGTATGTCTGAAACCAAAACTGACAATAGCAGCTGATGCACTGAGATTTACTACGTGCCAAAGATGAGCTCTTGCTCCTACCCACAGGGAAGCTGTCAAGAAAAGCCTCTAAGGTTTTAGGTGGCTGGAGAAAACTTAAAACCTTTGAATACTTACCATCATCTACAAGCCTATCTGCTTTTTTCTTCTTGATGCAATAAATAAGCAAAATCACAAAGACGACAAAGAATACTGCACCTCCTGCTATGCATGAGATGAGATAGAGGTTCAGCTGGCCTAGTTGAGAGAATAAAGAGGAAGTTAAAGGAAAATAAATAGCTTGTATAACACCAACCTAGAATTTTGTATCTTTCTGCCATTGAAATGAAAGCACTAGTTAGAGAACCCACCCCTCTGCCCTTTCTCTGTACACAGAAAAAAGTTACTGGTCCTCACTGCAGCATGGAACAGTGTGGAAGAACACTACAAAAACTTTCTTAGAAGAAAATCAAAACCAGGGCACTCGCACATGTTAGCTCCTCTTAAATTAGCACAAGTGGTCTGCTCCTACAATAGACCTTTTTAAGGATTAAAAAGTGTCCAGGTAGTGCTCAGCACCTAACAGAAATAAACTTTAAGTACTTCACCTGAGCTGCAGACATAGAGTGGCTTGCCTCATATCATTTTAGTACTTCCACTTCAGTTTTTGGCTCTATGCAAATTAGAAATAGCAGAAACAAAAATAGAAGTATCCCCACAGCCTTAAAACAAGATTTTGATTTGTTTGGTGAGCAAAGATTTATGCAAGCACTCTGTATTAGGCCAGTTAAGTTTTGCCAGGTTTACTTCTTCAACACCTCCTGCTTAGGTGTTCATGGCTGAGCACAGGTGCTGTGGAGCTCAACCCCACAGAAGGCAGTCATTCCTTTGCTTCCTGAAACAAAGCTCCAGAGAAGGAGACTCTGCTGGTGCCACCTCAGCATTCACACAAAGGGCAAGAGTCACCAGATGTATGTCTACAGTACGTCATCAGCCTGGGCTGCTCCCTGAGAGTAAATGGAAACAAGTGTACTCAGCAACCTAGTTCTTTGCAGTGCAACACCGACAGCTGAAGCAAGTGCTATGTGTTTTGCCATTCCAATACTTGCTTCTCCCAGCTGACCATATGGTGAGCTCTGGCAGACTCAGGACTGTACAAAGGCTTTGACAAGCTCGATCCTATCTTAAGCTGTCTTATCCACTAGAGATCAATATGCAAGATGACAGATAAAACTTGAAATGAGTAAGGAAATCCAAGGAACACTTGAACTATGCTCATCTGAGTCACAGTCACAAGGCTTAGCTAACTTTTTCCTGATTTCCAGGCAGCCTGCTTCCAGATCAACCCCACAGATAGACACAACTATGTGAAGTGCTGTAGCTGAGTCCTAGCTGATTCTGGAAAAAGTGGACTTCTTACCTGGACACTTGATTTCCTTCTCAGTTGTTTTTTTGCTGACTTGGTTCTTAACAGTACATCTGTATATCCCACTGTGTTGAGTAGTAAATTCCACCTCTGTTACATTCGTTTGGGATTTATTGATTTTACCTTGAGTCAATTCTATTGTAAACACTTGGTCCTCAGTTTTCTTCACTGTACATTTCACATATAGGGTTTTATTAATGCATTCAGCATTGAGGATTGGCTGAGGGACAGGCTCTGAAAAAAGATAAGGGACAGACAGATCTGATGATGTTTCTCCTTTTGAAAATCTCATTGTGAAGCAGAGCAGGGAATTGCAGTGACAGAGTAGCACTAGCTAATGAGACCAGAGAAGAATAAGAACAAGTCAGACTTCCACTGTAGAAGCAACACAGCAGTTATAAAGAAAATGCCATCCATTAGCCTACATTTTCATCCTAACGTACTTTTGATCCTTTTGTCTCTTTCCATTCTCTCCTCAATTCCCTAGAAGGTGTTTCTTCCTCAGACAAAGTGAAATTGTTTGTGCCAGCAAGAGTAACTACACTGTATGTCCTCCAGAACCCATTGTCACCACAGCATTGCCATGATTTGAAATCTGATTTTTACCCCCCTTTCTGCTTCTGAATAGAAATATCTGTAGTTAACATCATAAGGGCATTTGACTTTCAGCTAGTTAACCATACTAAGCACAACCTGAAGGTATAGAATCATAGAATCATTAAGGTTATAAAAATATCATAAAAATCACCCAATCTGACCACCAATGTATTCCCACTAATCACATCCCTGAGTGTCACATCCACAGTTCTTGAGCACTTTCAGTCAGTAACTCCACCACCTCCCCAGACAGCCTGTGCCACTGCCTCACTGCTGAGGGGAATTTTTCACTCATTTTATAACTTCCTTGAGTAATTTGGGGAGAAGCCCCCAGTGTGGAGCTCCAACAGATCTGGAGAGCACCCAAAAGCACTTCAGCAAAGGAGATCTGCATGATGCGGCCAGATGATCTGCAGGCTTTGCCTGGCTCACATCCATGGGAGAAAGTGGTGCTTTGGGGGCAGAGGATGTGGATAAGGAAGGCTGGATAAAGCCCTCTAACTCCTGCCCCAGTGTTCCAGTACAAATGCAATTAGCTCTGATCTGCCTGTACCCATCAGAAGAAGTTTCCTCCAAGACAGAACAAACAGCTACTTACCATGCTTTATGCATTGCCAAAGGCACTCAGTTTGCATGACAGCCACAGCACAAAAACTCATCACAACAGAGAACAGAACAAAACAGAGCACTCAGCTCCAAGGAGGCTACGACAGAGGGAGCTGATTTCTATCTCTCTGCATCCTACAAGGAACTACTTTTTGGCACTGGATTCTCTGTCACCGATGACAGGGAAAACTGACAGAGGTGTCAGATGGAAAAAAAAAAAAAGCTCTATTCCTACCTTCTAAACGAGTGAAGAACCACAAACTAGGGCCATCTCCAGCTGTAGACAGCATAAGCTATAAATAGCATAGGTTTTAAAGCCATTAAGAGCTGTCTGTAGCAAATGAAGCCTCAGTGCACACTATAACAAGGAAAGGCACCTTCCTTCCCTCATTAACCCAATCCTCTTCTGCAAGCTGTAGGGCATCTTTTGGAGGAAAGCCCCTGTGTGAAACACCAGAGTACAAGTCACATGAGTGTGATGGTGTCACCACCTCAACTATTTCTTTCTCTTCAGAACAGCTGTCTTCCCAACTCCAGTAGCAGTATGTTAACTGGATGACAATTGATACTAGCACCCAACAGTTACTGAAGGGTTTTACTCCCACAGCTATGTACCAGCAGTAAGGTAAGATCTCTGCTGCAGAGTAGGGAAGCATATAGCACATAGTTAACTTACTATTTATCACCTTAGCCTGGAATTAAACCCAGGTAACATCAATGACAGCTCACTGCCTAAACGCATGAATAAGGCCCCAATGACTTCCTTAATCTGCAGGCAGTTTGCAATGAAGGCTTTCAACAAAGTGAGACACCCTTGGATTGGTATGGAGAGAGGAAGAACTCACCCAAAATGATGAGCACTATTGTTTCATTTGCCTTCAGCTTTCCATTCTTGTCATAAGCAGACACCTTGTATATCCCACTGTCTTCTTTCACCAGTCGCTCTATTCGGAGAGTCCCATTGAGGAGCACCTTGCACCTACACTGCGTCTTCTCCACGTAATACTTAATTTTTTTGTCTTTCATCTGAAGCAGCCTTTCATTGCCTCTGCTCCACAATGTCTCGTGTGTGTTTTCAGCAGTGAAACTGAGTAGAGCTGTCTCATTCACTGCCTTGTAAATATTTATGGTACTGGTACCTATGAAGGTAAGCACAATCCATCTGTCAGTTCATCCTAAACAGTACTTACTGCCCTGCTCACCAACCACAGCCATAGAATCAAAGAATGCTTTGGGTTGGAAGGAACATTTAAGATCATCTTGTTCCAACCTCCTGCTAAAGAGGGGGACACCACCCACTAGAGCAAGTTGTTCAAAGCCCCATCCAGTCTACTCTTGAATGCTTCCAGGGAGGGGACATCCACAACCTTATTGAACAATTTGTCCAGTGTCTCACCACCCTCACAATGGTGAGGTGAGATCCTTCCTAATATCTAGTGCCATGATCCAAAGGGTTTTTGCTTTCCACCCATCTCAGTTTCTTAAGCCTCTCTTCATATTTTTTTTTCCCACTACTCCACAGCTCCCCTTGATTGTTTGTTAGTTCATCAGTACCCAAATTAATTCTGAGGAATTTGAAAGTCACATTTACAGAAGCAGACTTTATCCTCTAGATGATTTATTTATTGTGATTTTGAATGCTGAGATTCTCAGCTGCCTGTGGACTCCACTGTAACATGACAGAAAGCAAAACAATGACAGTAAAGCAGCAAGATCCCAGGCCAGGGAGGATCCACTCAAATACAACAGCAGTAGGCAAAGAAAAATGAGAAAGAAGCTACTTACCTTTAGAAAACCTTCAAGATCCTCAAATAGACAAGTTCTCCAGATGAGATACCCTCACCTCCACTTCCAGCCCTTAAATGAGTTCTGGGAAGGGGTGGATCCTGCCTCCGCCTTCTGGTCACTCAAGTACATTGCTTGCACCTGAGTCCCCTGGGTTGAGCACCCACCAGGTGCTCAATCACTGCTTCAAGCCCTGACTTAGCATTTCCACTAAATTCACCCTTCCTGCAAATAAGGTCATTTGGGCAGGCTTAGTTCTTGGCACAGGCTGATGTGCAGAGCAGTCATTGCTGTCATTTTTACTGTGAACAGCAAGTTTGTGGAGGCCTTGGATCATGCGGTCACTTCAGCAGCAACAGTGATGGCAACAATGATAAAAACAGTGGCCTAAAAGAGGTGTCTGTGTCAAGAAGTGAGCATATGACACCAACATGGAGGAACACACATGTATATAAGTCGCAGTGCCGCTCCACAGTGCATCCACCCCATGTTTCTAGCATAGCATCACAGGATGGAAAAGCAAGGGGGAGAAACAAACAGCTAACCACAGCCTGCAAGCTTATGAGGCACAGGAGATGTTGGGAGATAAGCGAAGAAAAAAAAAAAAAGCCTTTTCTCTTGACAAGTGCCCTTTGATTGTACATCCCCTCTGCAAAATAGGCAAGAGGAGGCCACTGCACAGCAGTGTTACCAGGACTTGGCACTCAGAGTAAAGGTGATAGTCAGAAATGGCTGTGGGAAGTAAAACACATCATCACCTCAGGAGGTCATTCATTCTTCCCTTTGTGCCTGGGTCCCATGCCCTTCATGCTCCAGGCTGTTTTGCAGCCCCTGCAAGGTATGGCTGTGGGGAACTGTGCTTCTGGGAGTATGTTTTGACATAGAATCATATTGTCATTAAGGTTGGAAAAGAACAATAAGATCACCTATCCCCACTATGACCACTAACCCATGTCCCTCAGTGCCACATTTACACTCTGGAACACATCCAGAGATGTCACCTCAGTGTGGCAATGCCTGCATCCCAGCTGCCAGTGGAAAATTTGTAGAAGGAGATATTAAAAAGCATTTAAAAGTGTGAGGTGGAATATCTTCATTACTAAAAACTTTCATTCTGAACTGCAACTTATTTCATTGTTCGTGATCTATATTCATTCCTCTTTCATCTATTGGGTAAAACTGATGGGCAGGTGGGGGATTTCCTCCCAAATACCAGAGAGAGCTGATTCTGCTCTAACTTGATAGATTTCAAGCGCTTTTTCCTACAGACATGACTGTGCTTATGCACTTTTTACAGTCCTTCACTGCAGCATATAATCTATTATTCCACAATGATAAACTACAGGGGCAACTGAAATCCAGTTGCTGTTTCAGCAAACTAACAATATTAGAGATAACCAAAGAGATAAAATATTTTGCCTCTGCAACAAGGAAATGAATACCGATGTGTTTCCACCCCAGTCTAAGGCGAGGTTCTTAGTTCAGTATCACATGAGGTATTTGATGCATCGAATGAAACATTCTGAAGCCATGCTGTCAGTCTGGGCAGCAGCTATCTTCCACAGAGATGGCACTATGGGTTGTAACCAAATGGTTGAGTTCCAGTACCTTCTCTGCTCCATTGCAAGCAAGTATTTAGAGCAAGGAATAGGATGCCTCTGAGTAACAGATATGCACATTTATATTTTCTATCTAAAAGTATGGAGAAAAAGATCTAAGTTTTCAGGGAAAATCCAGTGGCATTTCTAAGGACTGACCCCCAAGACAAATCTCTATGGAGATCCCATCGATATAATGGAAAGCAGAGGATTCCACACATGTGATACTACAAATCTGCTTAGCTGAGGAAATAGCAGTTCTGCTAATGTCAGCTGAAATGCTCTTCATGGGGCAGAAAGATCAGAGCTGGCAGCGTAGAGCCCATCTGCAGCCACAAGGAAGAGTCAAAAAAAGAAAAAGCTCCAAAAAGTAACATTAGAGAAGTAAGGAATCTTCTGTTTCACTGCTTCAGGTAAGTCTGAAACCCATTTTCCATTCAAGGGAATGAACTTCGCTTCTGTTTGGGAAGAAATACATCACATGCCAAACAGAAATTCCTTATTTGCCAATTAATTTTGTTCTGGAGGAAAAAAAATGCAATCAATCTATAGTGGAATGAGCAGGGGAAAAAAAATCTGTGCATAGCTGTGTTGTTAACTCATAGAGTAGAGAGCAGAAGGCACCTCAATTAAGTTTTTAGATTAATATTTTAAAAATGAGAGCAGTAGTGTACAAAATGTAAGTAGGCATTTGCTTACTGTTCTCGCATCGTATCCTTGAGCTCCACTGATGACACTGAGATATTACACACTTCCTGTTAATATTTAGGGAAGAACATAATTTGCACTTTCAGAAGATTTGCTCATCATTGATAAGAAAAGGTGATAATGGCCGTGCACAATGCACCATGAAGTAGATCACTAATGTAGTACAAGCTACCTCAAAGGCAGAGAGAAAACTGCATGCTGATATTTCTTGTTACATACGTGTCAAATTAAAGCTCGTTAACTTAAAACCAGAGCTGTTTACAGCTTACTGTAATAATAGAAATGGGAAATTCAGGTCCTGCCCTCCTCTCCTGGATGAAAATGAAATGAAGTAATAATATGCACAACCCAGAGACTCTCCAGTCACCTCACCCAATGGAAAAATGGAACTAGTTTCTCATCAGTAGCATCCCACCAAGTTGTAAATTGTTTAAAGGCAATTTTAACAACAGTAGCACACACAAAAAAAGTTGAAGATCTTAATGAAGACTTACATTTTGCTTTGGGAAACAAAAGCAGCAAGCACTTGACAAGGAAAATCCTCCCGAAGTACATTTTCAAGATCCAAAAAACCCAGTGCCGCCTTGTCAAGGGCAGCTCCCAGCAGGTGAAAGGCTCTTCTGCTGAAAGCAGCGGCAGTGCTTGCACAGCCTGTGCCCTCCTCCCAACCTCCCGCCTGCACTCGAGCACTTCTCGTTTCTCACCAGACACCCGAAGCAGCAGCAGCAGCACCTCCTGAAGGCTGTGCTGTCAGGATGGGGCAGCACGCTGCAATGGGGACAGCATGACAAATGTCCCTCCTCCTCCCTCCCTCCAAGATCTGCCCACTCGGCTTGAGGGCCAGAGGACCCTCATCCTCTTCAATGTCCACCTGAAGAGTTCAGCTCCACTATCCACGTCATCTTGCTTGTGGGACAGATGCTCCCTTGGGGCAGGGGTGGTGGGAGCCTTTCAGGTCCCCTGTGGCCCCCTCACCAAAGAGGGGACAATAAACCCAGTTCCCCAGTGGGGGAACAGAAACTGATGGCTGCTGGACAACTTGTGGAAAAGAGATGTACTTCCCTTGGAAAGTATTAGATCATTTTCACATCACTGTCTGACCTGCAAGGGGCTGGCCCACTGCCACACATGGGAGTCCTGCAGGCATGGCCATCCATCCAAGTGAGCCATGGAAGAATAGCAGGCATGGAACAGAATGAAAACATGAAAATACTGCCTTGGTCTATCCAGAAACTAGCTCCAAAGCTGGCTGATGTTGCAAAGATTGTGAGGAATCTGGGTTCATTGAACAGGACAAGAGGAGGCTCTGACATCCTGTCCATATTCTGCTTAACACTGTCTTATATTTGGCTTATATTTTTTCCAAAGGTACTTTCCACTTCCATCAGGCCCCTGCTCCTTGTCAACACGTTCTTACTGCAAAAATGCTGAGATGGGCTGTTCCATTGCTCTGGGCACAGACAGAGCCATGATGCTGCCCTGCTCTGTGCATAAGGCTGTTGTGGAACTGCAAAGATCTGTGACAGAAACCAAGATTGACATGAATGATACACAAATGGAAAAATGTCTGTCTGTGAAAGAGAGAGAGAAGAGAGGTAATGCTCCAGCAGGAGAACAAGGCTTAAAAGATATCCTGTATTTGTAATAGTCATCCAAAATCTGGGAAGAAAACTCTCTCACTCCAATATGATTTTACAAAGTGGCAGTCCTTTTATTCCTCATGATACATACCAGGCGATTGATTTGACAAGGAAGAGCATCGTCTCAGAGTTCAAGTTCTACATTTCAACTGTTAAGATATACATATGCAGTACATTGGTACAAGTATTCATTCTTTTTCAAGAACTCATTAAAATATACTAATGCCCCTTTGGGCATGCTCAGTGGTATCTTGGGTGGTCAAGTGACCACCTACTTCTTCCCCATTTTCTACCATCAGCTTCATCACTGAGACCTTCTGGCAAACTTTCATCTGCTTTTCCCCAATTTGGAAAATTTCCATTGCTTATTACGGCATAGTGAGCAACTTGGAAATGATATATGTGGAATCTGAGGAAGATGTCCTTACACCTTTTGAGGCAAAGGATAAAAGTATTCTATTACGTCCTCGGTACAAAATTATTGAGGTAAACAAGCCTGTTCACCCACTAAAGTTGAAATGGAAAGTTTTAGAACTATCACTCATGGATTCCTTTTGCTAAACCAATATATTGGTTCTTAAACCAATGGACTACTCCCTTTTGCTAAACAAACCAACCTATACCATCATGAAGGACACTACTTCCAAAGAACGGCATTTTTGTCATGCCCAGTGTCTGCACTTTTGTAAAATCACAGCGCAAATGACTCAGCATGACAGCACCTATACCCTGTTCTAGCCACCAAACCTTTCCCTGTTAGAGCAATGGTAGCAACAATCCACTCCCAGAAGGTCTGCTCAAAAAAGAGTTTGCTGTCCCCAGCAAGGAGGAACTCAAGAGAGGTGGTTGGTCCCTTGTTGCTTTATATCATAGAAATGATCTGGGTCTGGGCATCTGTGAAGAGTTGTGTGTGTGTGCACAAAACCAACCTGTTCAGAGATTTTGTACAACAAAACATCCTTCCCCTTCCTTAAGACCTGAAGATGGATGCATTTGCACTGCCTCGCTGCACTGCAGGACTACAAATAGAAGCTGCTGGAATTTCTGGGCACCGTGGCACAGTAAGGCCAGAAAAGTGGCACACCACCCACTGCCAGGATCCCTGATCTCACCCCACCAAGCAGCCCCTTTTCTAACCAGCACTGAACAGCTCCTGCACCAGTGACTGCTCACAGCACCCCAAGCCATGATGGGTGGGTTGAAGCTAGGAATAGCAAGCATGGCGAGAACCATGGCCTGGTTATCTCCCGCAAGCTCTTCTACTTGCAGCTTCTCTCCCACTCATTAACAGGAGGTAATGCTGATGGGCTAAACAAGAGCCAGATAGAAAAGCAAGCGATGGCCAGAAAAGGAAATGCCTCCCAGTGCTGCAGTGCTGGTCTCATCTTCAGCTAGGCCCGTAATCCTGCTCATGGTGATGGGTTCTTGGTCATCACATTGCTAAAAATCTCCAGTGAATGATAGGGCCAAATGCAGCCCCATACAACGGGGTGTTTCTTTGCAGCCACTGCTGCCTTTGCGATATTGTTTCCATTGCAAAAGCCACAAAGTGCTTTTGTTGCTCACTTTCTTTTTCACTCTGCTGTTCTTTGTACCACACTAACCAGTTTCCTCTGAGTTTCCTCTCAGGGAATGTAAGCATCATACTTACGTTTCCCTGGAAAAGTGAGAGACTCCCACACATCTGAAGGCAACATCTCAAGAGACAATGCATTGCTGTTCCCACCTCTAATTCTTCAACCTAGTGATAAGCTAATAGACATTCAAGCCTGAGGCATGAAAAAAAGAAAAAGCACAGTGACATTTGATCTACTAGAAAAAAAAAAAAAAGAGTACAAATACACTTAGCATGCTATTCTCAGAAAAGATTATATCCAGTCAGGCAGTGTGAATTTGTAGTCCATCTGCTAATTTGTTGCTAATCTGTGATTTACACCATCTTGTCTGGTAAGAAGCTGAGGTTGGGGTAAGAGGCATTCAGGTGGTACTTGTTACTCTTCTCTCAAAGTAGAGTCAAACACCATGATCTCAGCTTCATTTGAGAACCTTGCCATGAAAGAGGACAGGACTGCAAATTTACTCCTACGGTTTTTTTCACAAAGATGGGCCTTTACTTAGACAGAGTTTGTAAGAAGAGTGATCTTGACTAAAATAAAAATAAAGTTGTGGCCAAAAGTTTGGTGGGGACACTGGCTTGGTGGCTTGGAGCCCAAGGCTTTGAGTCTGTGACTAGCAAACTGAGACTAGCGCTGCTTTGCCCATGTGCAGTGGAAATATTCCAAAAAGAGCATCATATCCTGTCGGTGCTGAAACAGCTGCCAGACAAAACTTGTTTTTATCTTTCTCTGAAATACGGTAAATGTAAGTTT